GAAAACTTTTGTCATGTCACCCACTAATCCTTCTTTTCATTTCATCCTCAATACCTTTTTTGTGCTTTCTATGCTGTTTTGTTTTCCTGTTTTCTCGAATGACTGCAAGTTTATATAACGTGTTATTAGTGAGTGTTATTTGTTTAGCACTTGGTATGTGGTATTTTATTCATAACATTGTTTATAATCTAATTACTTAGGCTTAAGTATTTAGATGTTTTGTATTCTGCTATTTATAGTCTTTGTTGGCCTGAAGCATTCGTCTGCTGCTATGAATCTTCTAGAAAAAAATGGTTCTGTAGCTCAATTTGAGCTTACAAAATGTGTGTGACATTCTGGACAATTGCTGTAATAAACTACCACTTTCCTCCCTGAGTAACTGTTTTGTAATGTTAAATTTGAAATATTTTAAGACAGGAGGGGATGTTTAAGAAGTTATAGAAAGTCTTCTCTGACATGTTGTCACCCCTCACAAGAACTCAAATGATGGCTTTTAAATGTTTTTGAAAAACTTCTTAGACATTCTTTGAAAGAATGAAGTGTTTCTAAGCCTTTAGAGGTTGCACATCTCCTTTGTGTGTTTTTATTTTTTTCCCTACACACTTTTGACCCAGCAGGCAAAAGGTTCGCCATCTTTCAAAGAGAAAAATAAAACAATCACCTGGAAAGCAAGTCGTTTAAAGCTGTGTTTGAAAAAGGAAAGGGTCTCTACCCTCCATTTCTTTTCTCTCTTTTTCTGCTGGTATAAGAACTGAAGTCTCTGGAGAGAGAAAACGTGGCGTGTGACTTTTGGATTCCAGAGAAATATTCTTTTATAAAGCAATTCCTTCAAAAGAGCTCTCTTTTATAGACATAAGGGAATTAATCTAGGATCTGGTTCATATCACATGTCATGGTAAGACCACGCTTGGAATACCACGTATCCAGTTTTGGTCGCCACAATATAAAAAAGATGCTGAGAGTCTAGAAACAATGCAAAGAGGAGCAACAAAGATGTTTAAGGAATTGGAAGCTAAAACACGTGAAAAACGGTTACAGGAATTGGGTTTGTCTAGTCTAGAGAAAAGAAGAAATAGGGGAGACATGATAGCAGTGTTCCAATACTTGAGGGGCTGTCACAAAGAAGAGGGGGTCAACTTATTCTCCAAAGCAGAACAAGAAGCAATGGATGGAAACTAATCCAGGAGAGAATCAACCTAGAACTAAGGAGAAATTTCTTGACAGCAAGAACAAGTCATTAGTGGAAGAACTTGCCTCCAAAAGTTGTGGTTGCTCCATCAGTGGAGGTTTTCAGGAAGAACTGGAACAGCCATTTGTCTGAAATGATATTTCCTGCTCGAGCAGCAGGTTGGACTAGATGCTATTTGTCAAAAATGGTGTAGGGTCTCCTGCTTGGGGGTGGGGGGGTGGGACTAGATGACCTACAAGGTCCTTTCCAAAACTCTGTTAATCTATCTAACTAATATATCTTCCAGAGATGGCTCTAGGTATTATGTGAGATTCCTAACTAAAATTACTTTCTACAGCTCCCACTTTCGTCCAGGATTTATTTCTTTGGTGAAAAGTAAACATACGGCTCTTTGAGAGGTTCAACAAAGGTAGACAGGAATGACCTGTTGTTCTGAACCCCTTTTTGATGAAGTCCAATGAATCTTGCAGTCAATTATGGGTAATTGGAAGGCATTCTCACGATGGAGAGGTATAATAGAAGAGAATATTTATAGCACAGAGTTGAATTGTGAGGTCTTTGATGTTCTCTGAGCTTGACGGTTTTCTTGCAGACATTTCATTACCCAACTGGGTAACATCATCAGTGCTAAAAGCTTCTAGCACTGATGATTGATTAGTTGGGTAATGAAACTTAGTCTTTGGTGTCTCTGAACTTGGTTGTTTTCTCGCAGACATTTCATTGCCCAACTGAGTAACATTACCAGTCTAAAAAAACGTCCAGCATTGATGACTGATTAGCTGGGTAATGAAACATCTACCACGAAACAACCAAAGCTCAGAGAGCACTGAGAACCCCACAAATATAATAGTACATTGCTCCAAAGATATGTATTAAAGCAAGTGCTTTTTAAAAAAATACTCAATTATCTAGGCCAAAGAATAGACAAAGAGGAAGCCAGTACTTTGTGACACCAGATTGCCCCTTCTTCAATGTTGAGTTAACATGTTCTCCATAAGTCCTGGAGTACCAATAACATGAAATGCACTGAGACAATTGACAATCTGGTTGTCACCTTTAAAGGTCTTCATGGCTTGGGACCAAGTTATCTGAGAGACCATCGCTTCCCAGTCATATCCACTAGAGCAAGGAGGCAAGAAATGATGTGGGCCCTGTCCCCTAAGGAGATATATGTGGCAGGACCTTCTCTGTGGTGGCTCCCTCCAGAGGTGGTATTCAGCAAAGCCTGACCAGTTTTGGAGAACTGATAGTCCCTCAACACTGTTCAACTATTTACAAAGTCTGTGTTATTATTACTATTAATCTTCTCATCACTCCTTATCACCCATCCCTGCCCACTTGTGACTGTAGGACTGTAACCTTGTTGCTTGTATCCTTATGGTTTATATTGACTGTTTCCTAGTATGATTTGATGGCTTATTGTACCCTATGACTATTATTAAATGTTGGACCTGATGATTCTTGACTCTTGACGAATGTATCTTTTCTTTTTATGTATACTGAGAGTATTTGCACCAAGATAAATTCCTTGTGTGTCCAACCACACTTGGCCAATAAAGAATTCTATTCTATTCTATTCTATTCTATTCTATTCTGTTCTATTCTATATTGAATCTACATTTGTGGAAAGCTGCCAGCATGAGTTCTTAAGCTTGTGCTTACTGAATGTTACACACTCAGTATTCTGCACTGTTCTTATCGCTGGTGTCTCCGAGAAACCATTGTAGTGTTGGAGAAGATGCGTAAGAGATGCCTAAAAGGACCATCAAAATGATGAATAATTTGGAACAATTCCCCAGGGTTATAGCCAGTGGCACTTTTAAGCTGGGTGGGGTGGGGTTGAGAACAGCATGTCTAAAGAGACAACTTGATAGAGATGTATAAAATTATGCATCATGTCAAAAAAAAAAAATAGACAAAAGCTTATTTTTATTATTCTTTTGTCATAATAGCAACATTGCGGGTCACCCAATGTTGCTAAATGGTTGTTGATTCAGGAAAGACAAAAGGAGCTACTTTATCACACAGCGTATACATGAATTACAGTATTTGCTTCCAAAAGAAGGAATAATGGCTGACTTTAATAGCTTTAAAAGCAGATGAAACAAATTCATAAAGGAAATAGCCTGTCAATAGCTATTAGTGTCAGGAGGCCCATATATAACTTCAAAAATTTTCAGGCGGGGAGAAATGGAATGTCTCAATTTAATGCCTGCTGTATTTGTTTATTCAGCCTTTTTTAATGGCTTTTATGCCAAATTATTTTCTGATGTAATGGGTACGTGAGTTTCATTCTTTTTCTTGGTTCTAATCTACGCATCGGATTTTGTTAAGATTTATTTCTTTAGTGCGTATTAATTTATTAATTCAATTTACAAAGCCACCCATAGACCACTTCAATCTGGCCACTTGCAAACACCTTGTCAATTGCCAGGCATTATAACCAAGGACCATGTTGGCAGCAAATTCTGAATTTCAACATGCCAAAAAGCAGACAGACTGGAGGAGGCTCTGTTCAATCAAACGGATTGATTGGATATGTCTAGTTTAATGAAAAGAAGCACTGGGGTGACATGATAGCAGTCTTCCTATATCTGAGGGGCTGCCACAGAGCGGAAGGGGTCAAGCTATTTTCTAAAGCTCCTGTAGGCCAGACCAGGAATAATGGATGGAAACTGAAAAAGGAGAGATTTAACTTGGAAATAAGGAGAAACCTTCTGACAGTGAGAACAATCAACCAATGGAACAGAAGTTGCCCTCAGAAGTTGTGGGAGCTTCATCACTTTAAACCTTCGAGAAGAGATTGGACTACCATTTAGTGTAGGGTCTCCTGCTTGGGTGGGAGGTTGGACTAGATGACCTATAAGGTCCCTTCCAACTCTGATTATCTGTTATCTGTGGGAGAGGGAGAAGTAGTGCATTCCTTAAATGCTTTCATAGATAATCCCAATTCACTGAAGCTTGTGGGGCACAAGATTATTACTGGAGAGCATGATTGATGACTGTTGGCTATGGATGTGTCCCATTGGAGAATATACATCCAGGGGGTGGGGGAAGACCAGGGTCAAGGGTGACAATGAATGATGTGTCTCAGAGTCAGCTACACCCAGGTAGCACGGACATGTTCACTCCTAATAAATCTTCTTTAAACAGCGAGAGATGCGGCTAGAGATTTAAATGGGGGTGGATGCCGGATAGCAGTAACTTTGAGCCAGGAACCTGTCAGTATATAAGTAATTATGGTCTGGAATAGACATGGTAACAGGTCAGCCAATGGGGACTGTTTGGATTAGACATGGTAAC